CATTTGTGCGCGCGTGCGGGACTGTCTGCGCGCTTTGCACGCACGCGCTTGTGAGCTTGGGGACCTCGAGAGGGGAGGAGGGTCTCTTTGCAGGGCAGTCCCTCTTCTGCAATGCACAAGCCGGTCCCCAAGTCCCCAAGGTCCGGCCAGGGCTCCCCTTGGGGACCAGCGTGCGAATGACCATGCACCTTTGTGCGCACGCGTGGCTTTCTTTGCGCGCTTTGCACGCACGCGCTTGTGAGCTTGGGGACCTGGAGAGGGGAGGAGGGTCTCTTTGCAGGGGAGTCCCTCTTCTGCAATGCACAAGCCGGTCCCCAAGTCCCCAAGGTCTGGCCGGGGCTCCCTTGGGGACCAGCGTGCGCGCGACCGTGCACCTTTGTGCGCGCATGCGCGACTGTCTTTGCGCGCTTTGCATGCACTCGCTTGTGAGCTTGGGGACCCCGAGAGGGGAGGAGGATCTCTTTGCAGGGGAGTCCCTCTTCTGCAGTGCACAAGCCTGTCCCCAAGGCCCCAGGGCCCGGGGCTCCCCTTGGAGACCAGCGAGCGCGCATTTGTGCGCGCGTGCGCAACTGTCTTTGCGCGCTTTGCACGCACGCGCCTGTGAGCTTGGGGACCCCTGGAGAGGGGAGGAGGGTCTCTTTGCAGGGCAGTCCCTCTTCTGCAATGCACAAGCCGGTCCCCAAGTCCCCAGGGTCCGGCCAGGGCTCCCTTGGGGACCAGCGTGCGCGCGACCGTGCACCTTTGTGCGCGCATGCGCTTGTGAGCTTGGGGACCTGGAGAGGGGAGGAGGGTCTCTTTGCAGGGGAATCCCTCTTCTGCAGTGCACAAGCCGGTCCCCAAGTCCCCAGGGCCCGGGCTCCCTTGGGGACCAGCGAGCGTGCATTTGTGCGCACATGCGCGACTGTCTTTACGCGCTTTGCACGCACGCGCCTGTGAGCTTGGGGACCCCTGGAGAGGGGAGGAGGGTCTCTTTGCAGGGGAGTCCCTCTTCTGCAATGCACAAGCCGGTCCCCAAGTCCCCAAGGCCGGGCGCCACTCAGGGAAACCAGGCGCTCGGCCCGCCCCACCCCTGGCCCTGGCCCTGGCCGGGCACCGGTGCTGGCTTCTCCCGGACGGGCCACCAGTCTGCGTGTGACAATAAAGGGTGCATGTTTTTTTTTTTTTTCCTGTGGGACCCCCCCCCCACCCCAGCCTCAGTCCCCGGGGTGCAGCTTGTCCGGCCGCGCGCTAGGGGGATTCTGGGAGCCAGACTTGGCCACGGGCTCCCGTCTGGGTTAAGGGTTCGAGACTTGCCACCCGGCACAGCCCCCCCCAGCGGGTCTAGGCGACTGTCACTGACCCCCCCCCCAGGCCTGTCCTGGTGCCGTCCCTGACTGCAGGGGTCACGGCTTTCTGGCCCCGGGCGGGCGCGGAGGCTCACGCCTGTCATCCCAGCACTCTGGGGTGGGGAGGCCCAGGAGGGAGGATCGTGCTCAAGGTTGGAAATTCGAGGCCGGCCTGAGCAAGAGCGAGACCCCCGTCTCTACTAGAAATAGAAATTATATTGGCCAAATAAAAATATATTTTTAAAAAAACGAGCCGGGCGTGGTGCCGCGTGCCTGGAGTCCAGGCTATTCGGGAGGGAGGCCGAGGCGGGAGGATCGCTGGAGGTCAGGAGTTGGAGGCCGGCCTGAGCAAGAGCGAGACCCCGTCTCTACTAAAAAGACAAAGAAATTAATTGGCCAAATAAAAATATTTAAAAAAAAAAATGAGCCGGGCGAGGTGGCGCATGCCTGGAGTCCCGGCTACTCAGGAGGGAGGCCGAGGCCGGAGGATCGCTAGCTCAAGCTCAGGAGTTGGAGGCCGGCCTGAGCAAGAAAGAGCGAGGCCCTCTCTCTACTAAAAACAGAAATTAATTAAACAACTAAAAATATATAGAAAAAAATGAGCCGGGCGTGGAGGCGCGTGCCTGTGGTCCCAGCTACTCGGGAGGGAGGCCGAGGCAGGAGGCTCACTCGAGGCCAGGAGTCGGAGGCCGCTGTGAGCGAGGCTGATGCCACAGCGCTCACTCCCGCCTGGGCGACAGAGCGAGACTCTGTCTCAAAAAAAAAAAAAAAAATGAGGTTGATTTAGGTGTAGACGTGAGACCCTCGGACACACACGGGGCCTCGCCGCTCCCGATCGTACGCGGCCTCTGTTTTCTGCGTCCTCCACTCCGGCCTCCTCTTTGAGGTCATCGTCACCCCCCTGTTCTGTCATCCGAGGCTGGTGGCGTCTTCCGGGCCACCCCTGGGTGCCCGTCTCTAATTTCCGCTTTACGCCCCCTTTCCTTTTCTTTCTTTTTCTCCTAATTGCAGGCCGGGATGGGGACGCAGCGGCCGGAGCCGCAGCAGCCACATTGGGCCGAGGCCGAAGGAGGCTCATGTGGGCTCAGGGCGGCTCTAGAGCGAGTTTGGGAGACTGGATGGAGTTGGGGGGGGAGGTGACAACAGGGAGCCGGGGACGCTCCCGCCCTCGTCACTTCCGTGTTGGTGGCCACAGAGGACGGGGCGGGTGGAGGCAGGGAGGCCACGGGCCTCAGAAAGGACTTCAAGCCTTCATTTAAGTGAGACGGAGGCCGGTGTCACTCGTATTTTTTTCTTTCTTTTTGTGGCAGAGTCTCGCTCTGTCGCCCGGGCTAGAGTGAGCGCCGTGGCGTCAGCCTCCAACTCCCGGCCTCGAGCGAGCCTCCCTACTCGGCCTCCCTCCCGAGTAGCTGGGACTCCAGGCATGCGCCTCCACGCCCGGCTTGGTTTTTTTTCTATATATTTTTAGTCGTCCAGCCCATTTCTTTATATTTATTTTTTCAGTAGAGACGGGGTCTCGCTCTTGCTCAGGCTGGCCTCCAACTCCTGGCCTCGAGCGAGCCTCCCGCCTCGGCCTCCCTCCCGAGTAGCTGGGACGACAGGTGAGAGCCTCCGCGCCCGGCCCGTCCAGGCGCCGTGCGGAACATTCTTAGGGGTGCCCCATTCTTAGGGGACCCCCCGGGGAGGCTGCGGTGACAGTCCCTCGCAAGGTAGGGGTGACATCCGGGGAGCCAGAGGGACGAGAAGCGATTCTGGTGATAATTTGCAGGAACAGCTGCCGGGCCAGGAACAGGCAGGGACGAGGGGAGTTGAGGCCGAGCCAGGCTTGTGACCGCGTGTCCTCAGGGGAGGCCGGGGCTGGAGGCTGGCAGCTGTAGGGGACCCGTGTGTGGACGCGTGGTGCAGGAGGGAAAAGAAAACCCACGTGCCGGAACGACGGGCGCGGAGGCTCAGGCCTGTCGTCCCGGCACTCTGGGAGGAGGCTGAGTAGGGAGGATCGCTCGAGGCCAGGAGTTGGAGGCCAGCCTGAGCAAGAGCGAGACCCCGTCTCTGCTAAAAAAAAAAAATAGAAAAGAAACGAGATGAACGACTAAAAATATATAGAAAAAAAAACGAGCCGGGCGTGGAGGCGCATGCCTGTCGTCCCAGCTCCTCGGGAGGGAGGCCGAGGCAGGAGGCTCGCTGGAGCCCAGGAGTTGGAGGCCAGCCTGAGCTCAAGAGTGAGAGCCTGTCTCTACTAAAAAAAAATATATAGAAAAAACGAGCCGGGCGCGGTGGCTCACGCCTGTCGTCCCAGCTCCTCGGGAGGGAGGCCGAGGCGGGAGGCTCGCTGGAGGCCAGGAGTGGGAGGCTGCTGTGAGCGAGGCCCACGCCCGGGCGACAGAGCCTCAGAAAAGCAAAATAGAGTAAAGCCCACAGGTCCCTCCCCGCCCGGAACGCGCCGTCCCCGTGGAGTCCGGGGACACAGGGACAGACGGACGGACGAGGCTCAGAAAGCGCGTGGTTTATTAGGGTCAGCTGCAGTGTACACGGGCTCCCTTCGCCGTGCTCGGCCGACACACGCGTGTGCCCCGGCCCTCCCGACGACGGCACACACACACGACAGTCACAGACCGGGGAGCGGCGTGGAACGCCATCAAGGCTCTGATAAGGTCTGCGTTGGTGCGGCCGGCCCGTCGATCGATCGGCGAGAGAAAGAATAACACGGGGTGACCCCGAGAGCGACTTGGGGGACCCGGGGCGGGGTCAGAGGGCGGAGGCACCGGGGGGGGGGATCCCCATGACCCCACAGGGCTGGCACCTCCCGGTTGTCCCCCTTGACCCCGGATGACCTTCTCCGGTGTGACCTTTAACCTATGTCCCTGTCCCCACTTCTGCACCGGCAGGACTTTGACGTTGGAAGGAGCCGGCGGTGTCTTTTGTTGTGACGCAGAGTCTCGCTCTGTCGCCAGGGCAACAGCCTCGCTCACAGCAGCCTCCACCTCCTGGCCTCCAGCCAGCCTCCCGCCTCGGCCTCCCTCCCGAGTAGCTGGGACGACAGGCACGCGCCACCACGCCCGGCTCAGTTTTTTTTCTATATATTTTTAGTCGCCCGATTAATTTCTTTCTAATTTTTTCAGTAGATACGGGGTCTCGCTCTCGCTCAGGCCGGCCTCGACCTCCTGGCCTCCATCGATCCTCCCTCCTCGGCCTCCTCCCAGGGTGCTGGCGTGCCAGGCCCACACCGGTCGTGTTTTTTTGAACCAGCCTCGAGTGCTCGGGGCGGAACCGGTGTGTCCGTCTCTCCGGAAGGGATTTCGCTCGAGGAATCGGCCCTCGCGTCCGTGTGTGACTGTCCCCGGCCTCCACGAGGTTGAGGCTGAGTTTGGGAGGTGGCTTTCTGGGGTGGAGGGAGCGGGATCCGGTGCCACGGTGACAGTGACAGCTCGGGGCTGACCGGGGAGCCCGGTGGAGGCAGCTGGAGGCTGTGGTCCCCGTGGAGAGAGAGGCTGGGTGGCCTCCACTGGGAACCGTCCTCGAGGCTCGGTCTTGGTTTCCGAGACCGGAGGACGGGGGACTCCCCTTCCCGCCAGGAACAAAAGCCAAACCCCCCTGGGCTTAGGGACCGTCCCCGCCGCCCCCACGCCCCGGCGCGGAAGGTTCTGGGCCTCCGACTCCCAGACTTCAGCGTCCCCGGGGGGCTTCGGCCTCCACCCCCGGCCTCCACGAGTCCCATGGGCTCCCGCCAGCCTCAGGAGGCAACAGCGAGCCAGGCCTGTCCCCGGCGTGACAATCAAGAGTGTCCCCAAAGCCACCCGCGATCCGTGTTTATTGCTGGAGCCAAGGGAGGCCGGGGACAGGGGAGGCCCGGGTTCGAGTCCTGTTTGGTGGCGAGGCTGGGCCTCTCTCTCTCTGTCTCTCTCTCTCTCTCCGGCCACCAGAAGTCCCCTCCCTGCTGCTCCTCCCTGAGGTCCCCGATGCTCGGGGACAGCCGGCCCTGCCACCTCCCGTCCGCAGCCTCCCGCCCAAACAGCCTCCTTTCTAGAACGTTCCTCGCCTATCAGACTCGGCACCTGCAGATACAAGACTCGGTGACTCGGGGCGCCCGGGAGGGGCAGGGGACGGCACGAGGGCCCCGGAGTGACCCCACCGCCTGACCCCCGACCCCTGACCCCGGTCACCTCTCTCAGGGGTCACCCAAGTCACAGGGCCTCACGTCGCTTTCCGGGGCCTCCGAGAGTCCCCCGGGAGGAGCTGGCCTCTCGGGGACCCCGGCTGAGGGAAGGGGTGCAGGGCGGTGGGGGGAAGGGCAGGAGGGGACCGTCCCCCTCCAGGATTATTGCAGAACCCCAGGGAATCCCTGGGAACCTCGGTGGGAGCCCATAGAGGCAGGGCAGAGGCTTGGTTTGTGTTGTCTTTGCAGAAAAACGTCATTCTAGAACATTCCGGAATCTTCCGGAATGTTCTAGAATTTTCTGGAAAATTCTCTATAACCTCTCTCTCTCTCTTTTTTTTTGCATAAAATGTCTGTCCCTTAAGGTAGATCCGGTGGCTGGTAGCCTGATACGGGACAGAGATGTCTTTTTGTTTTTATTATTATTATTGTTATTGTTTGTTAAGTTGTGCTTGGGATTCCTGCAATTTGTGATTTTTTTGTTTTTGTTTTTTTTTTTTGAGACGGAGTCTCGCTCTGTCGCCCTGGCTGGAGTGAGTGCCGTGGCGTCAGCTCGGGCTCACAGCCGGCCTCCGACTCCTGGCCTCGTGCGATCCTCCTGCCTCGGCCTCCTCCGAGAGCTGGGACTACACGCCCGGCTCATTTTTTTCTATATATTTATATATATATATATATATTATTTTTTTTAGTCGTCTGACTAATTTCTTTCTAATTTTTTTTTTTGGTAGAGACGGGATCTCACTCTTGAGCTCAGGCCGGCCTCGACCTCCTGACCTCCAGCGATCCTCCCGCCTGGGCCTCCTCCCAGAGTAGCTGGGATGACAGGCGTGGGCCTCCGCACCCGGCTCATTTTTTCTCTCTCATATAAACTATACTCATTTTTTAGTGTCCTGGGCTCATTTCTTTCTATTTTTTTTTCTTTTTTGTTATCTTGTAGAGACGGGGTCTCGCTCTTGAGCTCCAAGGCCCGGCTCCACCTCCTGACTCCAGCGATCCTCCCGCCTCAGCCTCCCTCCCAGAGTGCTCTGGGACTCCACGGCCTCGCGCCCCTACACGCCTCATTTTTTCTCTCTCTCTCTCTCTCTATATAATTCTTTTAGCGTCCCGGCTCATTTCTTCTACTTTTAGCAGAGACGGCGTCTGGCTTTTTCGGCCCCTCGCCCCGGCCTCGGACTCCCTGGACCTCCACGATCCTCTCCTCGCCTCCCTCAGACTCGCTGGGCATGACAGCCTGAGCTCCCCACCCGGCCTCCTTTTTTTTTTTTTTTTTTCTTTTTTCTGCAAGACATCGCTCTCTGCCCCGTGTCCCCACCCCAGGCCGTGGGCCGGGGGGTTCAGGGCAGGGACCGGGCCCCGGCCGTCCTCTGCGACACCCACAGCTTGATTTCCTGGAAGACGGAGCCGGTGACCTCGGGCAGCTCCTTGTGCAGGACGTGGTAGGCTCCTTCGTAGATCTGCGGGCGGCAGGGAGAGACACACACACGCGGAAGGGACTCACGGCGCGGAAGGGACAGCCGGGCGGCCCTGCAGTGTCCCCTGGACCCTGTCCCTAAGCCCCGACGACCCGCCCGGCCTCGACTGTCACCGTTTGAACGCCAGCACCTTCTTTTTTATTTTTTGGCCACAGGGTGGCGCCCATGAACTGCAATCTCAAAGCTGCAAAATCTCAAATTTCCTAAATCAATCGCTAAACAGTGCTCCCTTCCTCGTCCCGGCTTTAAACTACATAGAGTCCCCGGCCTCGGTTCCCCCCCCTCCCTGTCCTCATCCGTCTCATTAGCGTGCAGGATGAGGCCGGGCGGGGAGGCCCACGCCGGTCGTCCCAGCTACTACTCTGGGAGGGAGGCCCAGGAGGGAGGATCGCTCGAGGCCGGAAATCCGAGGCCGGCCTGAGCAGGAAAAAGAGCGAGGCCCCCCGTCTCCACTAAAAATAGAAATTAATTAAACAACTGAAAATATGTAGAAAAAAAACGAGCCGGGCGTGGAGGCGCATGCCTGGAGTCCCAGCTGCTCGGGAGGGAGGCCGAGGCGGGAGGATCGCTCGAGGTCGGGAGTTGGAGGCCAGCCTGAGCCCAAGAGCGAGACCCCGTCTCTACTACAAAAAAAACAGAAAGAAATAATCTGGAAAACTAAAAAAATATAGAAAAAAACGAGCCGGGCGTGGAGGCGCATGCCTGGAGTCCCAGCTACTCGGGAGGGAGGCCGAGGCGGGAGGCTCGCTTGAGAGAAAGAGGAAAAGGAGAGCTGGTCTCACGAACACGGGCCAGACTGAAGACTCAAGGGAAACACTTTGCGTTCTTTCTTGAGAGCGTCGCTCAGACCAGGGCCTCCCCGGAGGCCCCTGGCCTCGTCTCCCTCGGTGAGGAGGCTGCGGAGACCAATCCCTGGTGCCTCCACTTGGCCCTTCGTCCACGTTGCTTTATTTTATTTTATTTTTTTGAGGCAGAGTCTCGCTCTGTCGCCCGGGCTAGAGTGAGTGCCGTGGAGTCAGCCTCGCTCACAGCAGCCTCCAACTACTGGCCTCAAGCGAGCCTCCGGCCTCAGCCTCCCTCCCGAGTAGTAGCTGGGACTCTAGGCATGCGCCTCCACGCCCGGCTCATTTTTTCTCTATTTTCTCTATATTTTGAGTTGTCCAGCTCATTTCTTTCTAATTTTTGTTTTGTAGAGACGGGGCCTCGCTCTTGGGCTCAGGCTGGCCTCCAACTCCTGACCTCGAGTGATCCTCCCGCCTCGGCCTCCCTCCCGAGTAGTAGCTGGGACTCCAGGCATGCGCCTCCACGCCCGGCTAATATTTTTCTCTATATATTTTTAGTCGTGCAGCTAATTTTCTATGTTTAGTAGAGACGTGGGTCTCGCTCCTGCTCAGGCTGGCCTCCAGCACGATCCTCCCTCCTCGGCCTCCCAGAGCGCTGAGACCCACCCCCCAGCCCCGGACAGGGCCGGGCTCACCTTGAGGGTCTTGTCCTGGCTCTTGGCGCCCTCCATGAGCAGGTAGGCGCCCTTGCTGTCGCAGAGCCGGTCGGCCGAGCCCTGGAGCAGCAGGAAGGGCAGCGTGAGGCGGGGCAGGGCCCGCTCCACCCGGGCCACCGCGTTGAGCAGCTGCATGCCGAAGGACACCTTCAGCCCCGCCCGGCAGATGAGGGGGTCCGCGTTGTACAGCTCCACCTGGGGGGAAAGGGGAGGGAGGGAAAAAATCGGGGTGTCCCGCGCGTGTCCTTCCGCGCCGGCCTCGGGCCCCGGCCTCATACCTTCCTCGCCCAGGACGCCACATTTGCCCCCGCGGAAGTTTCCAGAAACTTCCGGAAATTTCTAGAAGCTTCCGGAAATCTCCAAGACACTTCCGGAAACTTCCAGAAATTTCCAGACGTTTCTAAAAGTTTCCACACGTGTCCTGGGAATTTCCAGAAGCTTCTAAAAGTTTCCGGGAGTGTCTTGGAGATTTCCAGAAGTTTCTAAACGTTTCTGGGAGTGTCTTGGAGATTTCCAGGAGTCTCTAAAAGTTTCCAGAAGTGTCTTGGAAATTTCCAGAGGCTTCTAAAAGTTTCCGGGAGTGTCTTGGAAATTTCCAGAATTTTCTAAAAGTTTTCGGGAGTGTCTTGGAAATTTCCAGAAGCTTCTAAAAGTTCCCGGAAGTGTCTTGGAGATTTCCAGAAGCTTCTACAAGTTTCTGGGAGTGTCTTGGAGATTTCCAGAAGCTTCTACAAGTTTCCGGGAGTGTCTTGGAGATTTCCAGAAGCTTCTAAACGTTTCCAGGAGTGTCTTGGAAATTTCCAGAAGTTTCTAAAAGTTCCCGGGAGTGTTTTGGAAATTTCCAGAAGTCTCTACAAGTTTCTGGAAGTGTCTTGGAGATTTCCAGGAGTCTCTAAGTTTCCAGAAGTGTCTTGGAAATTTCCAGAAGCTTCTAAAAGTTTCCGGGAGTGTCTTGGAAATTTCCAGAATTTTCTAAAAGTTTTCAGAAGTGTCTTGGAAATTTCCAGAAGTCTCTAAAAGTTCCGGAAGTGTCTTGGAAATTTCCAGAAGTTTCTAAAAGTTTCCGAGAGTGTCTTGGAGATTTCCAGAAGCTTCTAAAAGTTTCCGGGAGTGTCTTGGAAATTCCCAGAAGTTTCTAAAAGTTTCCGGGACTGTCTTGGAAATTTCCAGAAGCTTCTAAAAGTTTCCAGAAGTGTCTTGGAAAATTCCCAGAAGTTTCTAAAAGTTTCCGTAAGTGTCTTGGAGATTTCCAGAAGCTTCTACAAGTTTCCGGGAGTGTCTTGGAGATTTCCAGAAGTTTCTAAAAGTTTCCGGGAGTGTCTTGGAGATTTCCGGAAGCTTCTACAAGTTTCCGGGAGTGTCTTGGAAAATTCCCAGATGTTTCTAAAAATTCCTGGGAGTGTCTTGGAAATTTCCAGAAGCTTCTAAAAGTTTCCGGGAGTGTCTTGGAAAATTCCCAGAAGCTTCTAAAAGTTTCCGGAAGTGTCTTGGAAATTTCTAGAAGCTTCTAAACGTTTCCGGGAGTGTCTTGGAAATTTCCAGAAGTTTCTAAAAGTTTCCGGGAGTGTCTTGGAGATTTCCAGAAGCTTCTACAAGTTTCCAGGAGTGTCTTGGAAATTTCCAGAAGCTTCTAAAAGTTTCCGGGAGTGTCTTGGAGATTTCCAGAAGTTTCTAAAAGTTTCCGGGAGTGTCTTGGAAATTTCCAGAAGCTTCTAAAAGTTTCCGGAAGTGTCTTGGAAATTTCTAGAAGCTTCTAAACGTTTCTGGGACTGTCTTGGAAATTTCCAGAAGCTTCTAAAAGTTTCCGGAAGTGTCTTGGAAATTTCCAGAAGTTTCTACAAGTTTCCGGAAGTGTCTTGGGCCCACGGTGGGGGGGCAGGTTGGAGGCTGCGGTGCCTCCTTGCTCAGCCTCCCCTTCCCCGCCCTGGTAGGAAGGCGGCTCTTCCCGGCCTGCTCAGCTCATTTTTTATTTATTTAATTGTTTTTTGTTTTGTTTTGCTTTTATTGCTGCATATTATGGGGGTACAAATTTTAAGGTTTCAATAAATGCCCTTTCCCCTCCCCCCATCTGTTTGTTTTAAAAATATATATTTTTAAAAATATTTTCTTCAAAATTTAATCATTTCATTTACATTTTTGGACAAGGCTGGGTTCCCATATTTTTATTTTTTATTTTTATTTTGAGGCAGAATGTTGCTCTGTCGCCCAGGCTAGAGTGAGCGCCGTGGCGTCAGCCTCCAACTCCTGGCCTCCAGCGAGCCTCCTGCCTCAGCCTCCTTCCCAAGTAGCTGGGACTACAGGCATGCGCTGCCACGCCCGGCTCGTTTTTTTCTATATATTTTTACTTGTCCGACTCATTTCTTTCTATTTTTTTCAGTAGAGACGGGGTCTCGCTCTTGCTCAGGCTGGTTTCGAACTCCTGACCTCGAGCGAGCCTCCTGCCTCGGCCTCCCAGATAGGTGGGACTACAGGCGTGAGCCTCCGCGCCCGGCTCATTCTTTCTATATAATATTTTTAGTTATCCAGCTAATTTCTATATTTTTTTTTTTTAGTAGAGACGGGGTCTCGCTCTTGCTCAGGCTGGTTTTGACTCTCCGAGTCACCCCGAGGAACAGAAAACCCCGGAGACCCACCGCGATGCCGGACTCCAACGGCCCTTCGGGGAAAACCCCGGGGACTTCAGACTCCCAAGACGAGTGGGGGAAACTGAGGCAGGGGAGTGGCGGGGCCTTCCCTGCCCCCACCCACGAGACATGGGAGCCACGGAGGGGCAGACGGAGGACAAGATTATTATTATTTTTTTTTTCCTACGAGCGCCTTGATCGAGCCGTGCCTGAAACCCTTTCCTCCCCGGTTTCCCCCACCGAATCCCATCCAAGAGCCCCCCTCCCGGGCCGGGGTCCCCCAGGGGCCACCGCCATGTCCCTCC